TATATATATAAAACACCTATGTATAAACACTAAAGAGTCTAACCTGTCCAAGACGACCACATATTTTGGAGACTAATTGGCGCTCATATGACCTTATGCAGTTGCGAGCGCCGTAAAACCTCTCGGCTACTAAATAACAAAAAATGAACAAAAATAATTTGGAGATGAAAAGTGATCATCTTGGGTATACCATTGACACCGTGCCACTATACCGTTTTAAAAAAAATGCAGAGGGAAATATAGGAGGTGCAATGATAGAATAAATATTTACATTTTAGGAGCAGGGATTCCAGAGAGGAGTTCTTTCATTGTGAATAGGCGGTGCTGAAAACAGACTCGTGTCTGTAGGCCTACTACTACTGTATATGTCGTGTCTACTTCCAAGAAGCACGTGAGCTTACTTGTTTCTTCATGGTGTCCGGTTGTCCACACTTTACACTTTGCAAGGAGTTGTCCTTTTAAAAAATCCTATATTCCTATATATTTACTTTTTTAAAAACCCAACCCCGCTCACCCAAAACATAACAACAAAAACCACAGCAAAATAAAAACGAAGAAAAACAAACAAACCCACCCCGAACTAATAAAAAAACAACAACAACAACCCGCACCACAAGTAAAATAAGTAAGAGTTTTACGGCACTTGCAACACAAATAGTTCATACTGATTAGAGGCGTTACGAGAGAGCAACAAACAAAAAAAAATAAGGAGAGATAAGGACGACAGCTGCTTGATAAGAAAGAAGGAGCAAACCAGACCACGACACTCACCCATTTCTAACGTGTAAATGAACCCAGTAATTGAATCTTTCAAAATATACCACTACCAGTCTGTAATACATCAACTGTTTTGACAAGACATTAACTCAAGATCTAGTCTTATGGCAAGGTTAATTTTCCTTCTTTTATAATGAAGCACATTAAATTGAGCCCATCACGTGAGCCAGTTTAGTATGCTCGAGGAATCAACTAAATATAGACCTAACTGGTGAAGAAAAAAACAAAATAAAAGAATAGGCATTCTCAAGTACATTTTGTATACAAACTACAAAGATGTATTTAGAGAGAGAGAGAGAGAGAGAGAGAGAGAGAGAGAGAGAGAGAGAGAGAGAGAGAGAGAGAGAGAGAGAGAGAGAGAGAGAGAGAGAGAGAGAGAGAGAGAGAGAAAGCAAAGAGAGAGAGATAGATATATATAGAGCGAGATAGATAGATAGATAGATAGATAGAGAGAGAGAGAGAGAGAGAGAGAGAGAGAGAGAGAGAGAGAGAGAGAGAGAGAGAGAGAGATGGGGGGGGGGAGGAATATATAGGGACATATACATATACATATATAGTCAAGTGGTTCGGACACCTCACGCGCGGATGCCCTCAAACCATCCAGCTCTGAGAGCATACAACACTAAATATTATTCTGGATGAGAGCCAGAGGGAGACCAAAGGCGACGCGAAGGGGTGAATCTGTGGCAGACACCCTCAAAGCTCACGGGATGTCCCTCCTACAGGCCACTCGCTTTGCTGCAGACTGCAGACAGACGCCGGTGTCTCCCTGCGACACCAACCGGTACAAGCGGAAGAAAATAAGTAAAAGTAAAAGTAAAAAGTATATATATAATTAGTGGGCCTACAGAGTATACATGTACAAGTAAAGTATGGAAGGGGCCAGTACTACTAGACCTGTTCGGTTTTGGTGGAGACACGCTCTAACATAACATAATTTGTATCTTTAAAAAGGTTGGAACAGCATCAAATTAAATGACATTACGCTATATAAAACAACATTGGCGCTCATATGACCTTATGCAGTTGCGAGCGCCGTAAAACCCTCTACTATAAAAATAAAACAAACTCAACATTTTTAAAAGAAAAAAAAACACAACACATCAGAACAATAAAAAAAATTAACACACCAACAAATTAAAACACAAAAGAAAGAGAGAGAGAGAGAGAGAGAGAGAGAGAGAGAGAGAGAGAGAGAGAGAGAGAGAGAGAGCAAATTAAAGACAATCCAGCTATACTCTGTCACATTTTTAAGTATACACATTCTGAAGCTTAATAAAACAAAATCTATTCCACCAATTGCTTTCAAATTTACACACTGATTACGTGATATACCTGTCGGTGGTGAACTGTTTTCAGATTCCTGAACGCGCGAGTGGTTTTGTAACTTCATGCGTGTTACAATATGTTTTGTCCTTTTTGAGAATTACTCATGATACGGCAATGATTTGTATAAAACAGAAGCACGCATCAAAGCTTTGTCATTTTTGTAACAATTCGCCAGTGATAAAACTTCTTAAGTCTACGTTTCATCATGCCACGCCCAAAGAGCAAATGTGCGAAATCAGCTTGTTGGAATGATTCGCGGGGGTGCCTCGGTATCCACTTTTGCTATATATTTTAATGTAACAAGAAGACCTTTGTACACAACAATGGATCGTGAGAAAACAACAAAATTTAAATCAGGAAAGGATCGACACTGCCAACGTGGGAGAAGTACTCCTAGTGCGGGTTTTTTTTTTTTCCTGTGGCTTTTGCGTCTCCGTTTCCGTTTGGCAAGGGCAAGCCGACCTTGGTTTTAGTTGATGCGCCTGCGCGCGTACCAGCCTCAGACACTTCCTCAACTTGAGAGAACATCGCATGAAGAGTGGAATTAACATCCCTCAACAGACAGTGCAGCGATTGATTGATTCAAGGCTTCGACGATGTCAGGTCGTCATCTACTCTACTGATCGTGTTACTTTTGCAGACCACCCTCACACTCTTGTAAGTCGTGAATAAACCTGTTATGTTCACATTCCTTGTTGTTGTTGTTGTTTACGTTTTTAAAATTGATTGAATTCGTATTCCTGAAATTTTAAAGAATATCGACTAATTGTGAAATTAACTATTTTAATTTTAACACAGTGTATACTTAAAAATGTGACAGAGTATAGTATGTATGTAGTCTAGATCTATATATTATATTGTGGCATCTTTTTGGTGAGTATTTAAAGAACAATTATAAGTGAATGAGGAGAATACGCGGAGACAGTATAATTTACAGTCTGTGGAATACTCAAGAATATTGAAAAATAAGAACAAGTGAATGAGGAGAAAACGCAAAAATATTAGTCTAATGGCAAATATTAAACTGATTTTTAAGAGCTTTTTAAAAAAATGAAACGAGTGTGAATTTATTGAAAATTATTATTAAAGACGTCAAAGACACGACGAAGTATAATATATTATTTGTTTTGGGTTCCTTTGCATTCTTGCAGAAGATCTTTTGTCATCTCACTAAAGTGGAATCACTTGAAAATTCGTTTTAGAATTCGACAATCGATCATAGATCTAGATCTACATCAGATCCCATTAATATCTCTACGTTGAAATTTCAATGTGCGCAAGCCTGCAACTTGGGTTTTAATGCTTTGGTTTTTTATCACGAGAAACACTGAGCATTTTCAACCAACAGATCCATTAAAAATTTTGTCTAACCTATGATAAAGAATAGAAACGAATCACGAAATTCGAAACCGAAAGTCAGAAACATGCCCATGGCCATACCCTGCCGTCGTCTTTTATTTGTTGGCCACTCATCCATTGCCTCGACGCCTCTTGACGACTTGATGTTTCACCTAAAACTCTGCGTTCAAAGTTAATCAATACAAGTTTAATAACCAGATGCTGTAATACCATCTCTGTTAGGTATGAACTTATAAGTGTAGGCTAGATTAGTATTATTAGTCATTATATTAAGGTTAACTAGATTCTAGAGACTCTACTAGAGATCATAGAATCTAGATTAGCAGATTAGATTTCTAGATCTAGATATCTAGATTAGATCTAGATATAGATCTAGATTATAGATATCTAGATCTAGATCTAGATTATAATATAGATCTAGATCTAGATCTAGATATATAGATCTAGAATGTCATAGATCTACATCTAGATATATCTAGTTTAAATTACTACCCTCCTCACTCGTGAGTCATTGATCAGTCAGAATTGTACGTGTATCCGATTGTCGAAGAGGAAAGTGGTTGTCCAAGTCTTACACAGTGTCATTATTCATTATATTATATCGAAGTGGCTAGCCGTACTTAAGTACTGCCAGTCTAGCCGTACGTAGATCTAGAATCTAGGTTTGGCCCTATCGACTCCATTAAGCCTGTTTAGTACACAGGTCTCATTAGAT